GTTTGTATGTGTGGAAGGGAGGGGGGTAGGTGTGCAAGGTCCTGTGTGACCACATCCTACCCACAGGTATGAACCAGGTCCCCATATGAGAAACCCAATGAGTAGACTTAACACCACATGACTGACTAGGAGACCGATCTAGAGATGGATAAATGTGTCCTGTCCTGGCTGCCTGTGTGCCCACCTATGGCCTTTGACCTTGAATGCCCAGTCTTGGATGTCTGTGTTCCCTGGGGTCCTCATCTCAGTGTTAGTGCTCTTGGTTGGTGTCTGCATCTTCTAATCTCCACAAAATTGCTTGAGGATGAATTATAGTTTTGATCTTTACCATCTTTATCTGGGTTTGGCCATGTATCTGGCTTACTTTGGCTAAATTTGTGCCCAAATATGAACATCCACGTGTATGTCCATATTTGTGCCCAAATATGAACATCCACATGTATGTCTGCATAAATAAGTCTATATGGCCTTTGTTAAAATGACTAATATTTATTAGCCAGTTACAATGTGCCAGGCATCACACACACTCTTGTTTAATCATTTCAACAATCCCATTTTACAGATGAGGAAAGAGGCACAAAGAACTCAGATAGTTTGTTCAAAGTCTAGCAGATAAAGTTTGGACCAGATTTAACCACTATACTACAGACTTGTGTCTATGAAGAAGTCTTTGGGGGAGCTTGAGTGTACGTCCATGTCTCTCCCCAGGTTCGCTTCTTAAGGACCCCAACTTGTTGTCCAGGCCCTGTGTGCAAGTGAGGGAGTCTGTGACCCACACAGGAGGATGTACATTTAGGTCTGAGCAGACCTGTGTCCGAATATGTTTGTGTGTGTGCACATACACCCATGCCTTAACTGTTTGTACTCATGTACACGTATGAACATCTGTGCTGTGATTCTCGGAGCTGCAGCCCAAGAACATGCGAGTGAATTCCAGCTTCAGGGCTGTCCGTATCAGTTCCTAAGTTTGGAACACTGGTTGTGCCTGCTTGCCCATGACCTGATGTGGCCACATCTGTGCCCTTGTACGACATACTGCATTTGGCTAAGATGTCCACACCCTGGAGCCAAGACTGTGTGTCATACACACTGAGTGGCCACATCCATTTGATGTCTGTGACAGCATGGTGATCTTGCATGACTGGTTCCAAGTGACCACATGTCTGGACCTGTGTCCATTGTCCCTGTCTCCACTCTCAGCCACAGAGGACTTCTTGCCCTCTCTCTGGTCATTTTCCTGTCCTCCCTCTCCCAGATTCCTGTAGCTAATGGGGCTGAGAGCAGGGGTACACAGCTCTGGAGAAAATAAACAGTAGTTGTTGAAGCTAGAGAGTAGGCAGTGCTCACAGATCAACAGCTAGGACATCTTAAGAAACTGGGGGTAGTCACAGGTGAAAAACATGTAGTGAAGGCGGGGTGGAAGGAAAAGGGCTCTGTCCTCAGGGGTCCCCCTCTATCCGCTCTCCCAGCCCCCCAGGACAACGGCAAGGTGCTGAAAGGTGAGGAGTGCGCGCCCCACTCCCAGCCGTGGCAAGTGGCCCTCTTCGAGCGCGGACGCTTTAACTGCGGTGCTTCCCTCATCTCCCCCCAGTGGGTGCTGTCTGCAGCCCACTGCCAAACCCGGTATGAAGGCAGGGCTTAGGTCCTGAAGGGCACGGCGGGCAGGGTCTGGGATTTGAGAATCTTGGATCCTGAGGAAGAAAGTACGGACGCCTGGGGGTTTTGTTCCATGTGGGTGCCTTGGTCTCTGAGGGGTGGGGACTGGAACGACCCGCTTAGGGCCTTGGGTGGAGGGTAATGGTTCTCCAGATTCCCAAAGGGCCGGTGGGCCCCCTGGTTGCTGGTTCTTTGAGTTTTCTGTCTGCTGCTCGCCCCACTTGCGGGTAACCACCCGCCCGCACAGCTTCATGAGAGTGCGGCTGGGCGAGCACAATCTGCGCAAGCGCGACGGGGCGGAGCAACTGCGGACCGTTGCTCGCATCATCCCACATCCGGGCTACGAGGCGCGCAGCCATCGCCACGACGTGATGCTCCTGCGACTAACCCGGCCCGCGCGCGTCTCCCCGGAAGTGAGCCCGGTGGCGCTGCCCACGCGCTGCCCCCAGCCAGGAGAGGCCTGCGTGGTGTCTGGCTGGGGCCTGGTGTCCGACAAGGAGCCTGGGACCAGGGGGAGCCCAAAGTCACAAGGTGCGTGAAAGGATGGAGCTGGATGTCAGGCCTCCAAGGGCCCCTATCCTCCAGGGCTCTTGGGTGGAGGGGAACAAGGGGCCCGAAAATGTATGGATTCCCTCCAAGTCCACTGTCGTTCACAGTGAATCTCCCAGATACATTGCACTGTGGCAACATCAGCGTTATCCCAACCACCTCTTGTAACGAGGACTACCCGGGGCGCGTGAAGGACACCATGGTGTGTGCAGGAGTAGAGGGCGGAGGCACAGATTCCTGTGAGGTCAGAGCCAGAGGGAGCCATGGGGGGCGGGCAGATGGAGGGGGACAGGTTTGGGAGTTGGGATGGGGTCGGGTTTTGCTTGCTTTGGGCCAGAGGAGATGCTACGTGTAGGTTTGGAGATGGAGAAGGAGCAGTTCGAATAGCGGTGAGGTTGGAGTTGGGTTAAAGGTGGGGATAGAGTTGAATTGTGGTTGGCGTGGATGACGTGGCAGTTGGTTGAGGGTGGCATGGGTTGGAGTAGAGAATGGGAATGGGTTTTGCTTGATTTTATTTATTTTTTTATTATTTTTACTGACTTTTACTTATTTTTACTGTAGTATAGTTAACATACAATAATCAGTTTTGAGTTTACAACAGTAATTCGACAGTTATCTATATTATTATATGGCCACCCCAATAAATGTAGTTGCTATATGTCAACATAGAAAGATATCACAATATTACTGACTATATTCTGTATGGGTTTGCTTGATTTTAGATTGGGAATATCTCGGGATTGAATTGGGGATAGGACATTCGGGGTGTAGAAGACATGACGACTGGGATGAGGTCGTGTTGCCGATGGGAATGGGCGGGAGTCTGGTTGAATGGGGACGACGTGTGGGTCAGGTTAGGTGGAGTTGCATGGGGTGGGGTTGGATTGGATTTTGATTCAGGTTGTGAATGGGTGGTTCAGATGGGGATGGGGCACTGGACCCAGAAGGTTCACACTCAAGCTTCCATCTCTCCCCACAGGGTGACTCCGGGGGTCCCCTAGTCTGTGGGGGCGTTCTGCAGGGCATTGTGTCCTGGGGTGATGTCCCCTGTGACACAACCACCAAGCCCGGTGTTTATACCAAAGTCTGCCGCTACTTGGAGTGGATCAGGAAAACCACGAAGAGGAACTGACTGTATTGACCGACCACCTGTGTTACTGATTGAACAGAAGCTCCCACAACTGGCCAGCAGTCCCATCTTGACCTGGGACAGGACTGAGCCATCCCCCCAAGACCCCATTCGTACAAAGTTCAGATGTTAGGCAAGGGCTTGTCCCATCTGAGGTGAGAGCTGGTGCTGAAGGTCACGTGTTTACCACCAACATAACAGCACTGATGCAGGTTTTTCTATAGGAGTTTCTGTGACTTACTTCTGGGGATGGGGGGAAATGGGAGTTAGAGACTAGCCACCGTACACTGTTCCGTTCCACCCACTGCCCTGATCCCTAGGTGAAGAGAAATGGCTTGAAGCAGGGTTCTGTTCATTCAGCACAGGTTTAGCAGCATGATCTTGAGCAAAAAACTCGACCTCACTCAGCCTTGGTTTCCCCATCTATAAAAGAGAGATCATTACATTGCTTGCCTTATAGGGTTGTAAAGATTAAATCAAGAAATGTGAATGAACTGATTCGAACAGCAGCTGGCATTGGGAAAATATATCTCAGAACCCCAGTGAAAGGACCCTGCACATGCTACATGATAAAAAATGACTTCATTTTCCTCAAGAATTAGCCTGGGCTTCCTGGTAGCCACAGCAAAAAGGCAAATGCTCTCCTTAGACATGTTCCTAGCATATACAGCAGAGGCTGGGACCCTGTGAGCTGCACTGATTTTACTCGAGAGCCAGGGGAATGTGTCAGAAGCCTATGGGTTTACCATTGAGGCTGCAGGAATCTAGTTTCTGGTTCTCTTCAGATATCCAAAAAAATGTGATTTTCAAGATCACTGAATGTTGAAGTACATGAACCTAGCTCCTGAGACCTAAATATTTTATTGGGGGAGGGAAGATTGGAATTTCGGGAGAGGATGCTCTTGACCTTGGAAGGCAAGTAGTCTGGGATTCCTGGGGCTTCAGAGAACATAACCTTGAGCATCCAGCTCTGGGGAACAAGAAGGGGGGTTGTGTAATGGGATCCCAACATTGTTTGGGGGGGGCATTGGGTTTCAAAACGCTATGAAACTTAATCAGGGAGACCTCTGAAATTTCATATTCCTGAATCTTGGGGTGCTAGGATTGTGGTGGTGGGTAACCTAAGTTTTTTAAATGAGAGGGACGATAGATTTGGGGGTCTAGATTCTAAGTCTGGGAGTGCTAGAATCCTGGTATCCTGAAAGCCAATGCTTATATTTGGGGGGAACTGAAAGCTGAGAAGCTGGCATCTTGGCTCCAAGAAGCACAGGGAGGAAGGAATCAGACGCCCCCCCACTGCTGATATTTGAGGGCACATGGAGTCTTGGAATGCATGGCCTTACTTGGGTTCAAGTGTATGGGGCTTTGTACTGGGGTCAGTGACTCCTCCACCCTCCTGTTTCTGCTTGCATTCACCCTGCCCACCCCTCTTCTGGCTCTGTCCCCAAGAGTAAGGTCCCAGGAGCTCCAGGCCCTGCCCCGTCTGGCCTCAGGCCCCAGGAATGCTTCCAGCTCGATCGAGGGCCTGCTGAATAACAGGTGCTCACTCTCCCGGCCTGTCCTCAGCTCCGGCGTGGGAGGAGGTGTCCGGCCCCCGGACAGCAGGGGCAGGGCCTTGGCCAGCATCTGGGTGCCAGCAGGGCAGGGGCGGGGCCCTGGGGGAGATGAGGGCCTTTAAAGGCTCCCCAGCTCCAAGCTCACCACCTGCTGGCCCCTGGACACCTCTGTCACCATGAGGCTCCTGGCTCTGTGCCTTGCCCTGTCCCTGGCAGGGACTGGTGAGACAGTGGGGAAGACGTGGGAGGGGGAATGGGCCCAGATTCTCGTGCAACCCTCGGCCCCCACCCCAAGTCCTTTCCCTCCCACTGTTCACCCCCCCCTCCCAAGGACCAGGCTCTCCTGTCCCCCAGCGCCTCCTGTTGTCACGTCCTCACTGCCATGCTAAGTCCCTGCTTCCTTCCAGGAACCCCCAGAACTTTCTCCTCTTCCCCACCTAGTTCCCTGCCCTCAGCCACCTTACCAAAGGCGCAGAGCCTGGGCCATCTCTCTCTCTTGGGGGGACTCCAGCTCTTCCAGGGAGCCCTCCCAATCCCACTAGGCCGTGGGACCCTGATCGCTCCCTCTGAGCCCCCAGGTCCCACCACACCTTGGTGATTCTCTCATCCAGCTGTCGGCTGTCTGCTGGGTCCCCCAGGCCCTGGCATCCAGTCCCCCCTATTCTCCCAGGAACCCCATATTTCACCCAGAATTTCTGGTCCGTGACACCTGGTGGGCCCCCATCCTGGTACGGGGTTCTGTGAATGTCTCTTCCCCAACTCTGCCCTGGAAGCCCCAACCACACACCCCTTTCCCTGTGGAATCTCCTCCCTCCCCAAGCTCCAGCCCTCTCCAACTGAATACCTCCCGTAGCTCTACTTTTCTGGGACCCAGTCCCCCACCCCAGGATCCCCATACCAAACCCCTTCCCAGCCCCGTGGTCTGCCCTGCCTCCCCCAAGGGGCCCAACATGTGTCATCGGGGGGATCCTCCCTGTACCCCGACAGCTGCTTGGCCCCAGATATGCCTCCTCTGTTCCTGTCCCAGCTGCTCCCAAGAGAAGCCTGGATCCCTCAAGGACCCTCAGACCATGAACCCCACCCCATGATAATCACCCGACCCTAGAATGGCTGCCACCTGTTCTCCCTCCTCTGGAGCCCCCTCCCAGTTCTGATGCCAACCGTGGGCCCAGGGCCCCTGCCCCTCTCAGAATGCCATTCCTCTTTACGGACCCCCCACCCAGCTGGTCCCCTCTCCCAGCTGAACCCTATCTTTCGTTCTTTGACCTGAAACTCCAGACTCCCCCAACTCTGTCAGTCCCAATCCAGAACCCCCAAATCACTCCAGATTCCCCAGTATCTTCCTGGCCTCTCAGAACTGACTCCCCAAGTCTCCCTTTGCAGAATCCTAAAAGTCCAACCCATGTCCTAACCATTCCACAGCCTGGGAGCCTCTTAACCCCCACGAATCCTTCCCCCCACAGCCGCTGTCCGCTCTCCTGGGAATCTCCTTTCTTCTCAACTCACAGCCTCCCAGCCCCAGTCCAACACCCTAAATCACCGAACCCCCAAGCCCCGTGCTGCTCCAGAGGCCACCCTTTTGTCTCATACCTGAACCTTGAGGTCCCCACCCAAAAACAGCCACAAAATCACAGTTCCAGAGACTGCTGGAGGATTCGGGGTTCTCAAAACCCCTTGCCCATATCCCTGGCCCTGGTCTTCTGCCCCCATATGCCTCCAACCTCACAGCACAGCTGCCGCCGCCCCCCCACCCCCAGGCCTTTCCTGCCAACCTCCAGCCCCTGACCCAGCACCCCATCCACAGATGCTGTGCCCCCCATCCAGTCCCGGGTCGTAGGGGGCTGGGAGTGTGAACAGCATTCCCAGCCCTGGCAAGTGGCTGTTTACCATTACAGCAACTTCCAGTGTGGGGGAGTCCTGGTGCACCCCCAGTGGGTGCTCACGGCTGCCCACTGCATAAATGAGTGAGTAGCGTCAGGGGCCGTGGGAAGGGGCGTCTGTGCTGCCAGCCTGGGATCACCTCAGGGAGCGAGGATGGCACTGGTGCAGGTCCCAGGAGATGGGCAGCTGGGCAGGGCTGGGACTGGACAGCCCCAGGGAAGCCCTCCCTGCCGCCTGCTCCCTGTGTCCCCGTGTGGCTGTGGCTGTCTTCCTGTGTCTCCCTCTGTCCCGTCTGTGTCTGTTGGTAACTGGCTCCGTTGGCGTGTCTCTCAGTGTGTCTGGGACTTGTGCCTGTCTCCGTCTCTCCTGTCTCCATGCCTGTGTCTCTCTGGGTCTCTGTCCATCTCTAGGTCTCCACTGCTGTTTCTGTCACCCGTGCCTCCCTCTCCATCTGTCTGCCCACCTCTCTCGTTGGGTCTCTGCCGCACTCCCTCTCCCGCCCCACTGCTGGGCACCCCAGGGAAAGAGATTGTCCCTGACGTGTGAGAGAGAGAGAGAGAGAGTGTGTGTGTGTGTGTGTGTTTGTATGTGTGGAAGGGAGGGGGGTAGGTGTGCAAGGTCCTGTGTGACCACATCCTACCCACAGGTATGAACCAGGTCCCCATATGAGAAACCCAATGAGTAGACTTAACACCACATGACTGACTAGGAGACCGATCTAGAGATGGATAAATGTGTCCTGTCCTGGCTGCCTGTGTGCCCACCTATGGCCTTTGACCTTGAATGCCCAGTCTTGGATGTCTGTGTTCCCTGGGGTCCTCATCTCAGTGTTAGTGCTCTTGGTTGGTGTCTGCATCTTCTAATCTCCACAAAATTGCTTGAGGATGAATTATAGTTTTGATCTTTACCATCTTTATCTGGGTTTGGCCATGTATCTGGCTTACTTTGGCTAAATTTGTGCCCAAATATGAACATCCACGTGTATGTCCATATTTGTGCCCAAATATGAACATCCACATGTATGTCTGCATAAATAAGTCTATATGGCCTTTGTTAAAATGACTAATATTTATTAGCCAGTTACAATGTGCCAGGCATCACACACACTCTTGTTTAATCATTTCAACAATCCCATTTTACAGATGAGGAAAGAGGCACAAAGAACTCAGATAGTTTGTTCAAAGTCTAGCAGATAAAGTTTGGACCAGATTTAACCACTATACTACAGACTTGTGTCTATGAAGAAGTCTTTGGGGGAGCTTGAGTGTACGTCCATGTCTCTCCCCAGGTTCGCTTCTTAAGGACCCCAACTTGTTGTCCAGGCCCTGTGTGCAAGTGAGGGAGTCTGTGACCCACACAGGAGGATGTACATTTAGGTCTGAGCAGACCTGTGTCCGAATATGTTTGTGTGTGTGCACATACACCCATGCCTTAACTGTTTGTACTCATGTACACGTATGAACATCTGTGCTGTGATTCTCGGAGCTGCAGCCCAAGAACATGCGAGTGAATTCCAGCTTCAGGGCTGTCCGTATCAGTTCCTAAGTTTGGAACACTGGTTGTGCCTGCTTGCCCATGACCTGATGTGGCCACATCTGTGCCCTTGTACGACATACTGCATTTGGCTAAGATGTCCACACCCTGGAGCCAAGACTGTGTGTCATACACACTGAGTGGCCACATCCATTTGATGTCTGTGACAGCATGGTGATCTTGCATGACTGGTTCCAAGTGACCACATGTCTGGACCTGTGTCCATTGTCCCTGTCTCCACTCTCAGCCACAGAGGACTTCTTGCCCTCTCTCTGGTCATTTTCCTGTCCTCCCTCTCCCAGATTCCTGTAGCTAATGGGGCTGAGAGCAGGGGTACACAGCTCTGGAGAAAATAAACAGTAGTTGTTGAAGCTAGAGAGTAGGCAGTGCTCACAGATCAACAGCTAGGACATCTTAAGAAACTGGGGGTAGTCACAGGTGAAAAACATGTAGTGAAGGCGGGGTGGAAGGAAAAGGGCTCTGTCCTCAGGGGTCCCCCTCTATCCGCTCTCCCAGCCCCCCAGGACAACGGCAAGGTGCTGAAAGGTGAGGAGTGCGCGCCCCACTCCCAGCCGTGGCAAGTGGCCCTCTTCGAGCGCGGACGCTTTAACTGCGGTGCTTCCCTCATCTCCCCCCAGTGGGTGCTGTCTGCAGCCCACTGCCAAACCCGGTATGAAGGCAGGGCTTAGGTCCTGAAGGGCACGGCGGGCAGGGTCTGGGATTTGAGAATCTTGGATCCTGAGGAAGAAAGTACGGACGCCTGGGGGTTTTGTTCCATGTGGGTGCCTTGGTCTCTGAGGGGTGGGGACTGGAACGACCCGCTTAGGGCCTTGGGTGGAGGGTAATGGTTCTCCAGATTCCCAAAGGGCCGGTGGGCCCCCTGGTTGCTGGTTCTTTGAGTTTTCTGTCTGCTGCTCGCCCCACTTGCGGGTAACCACCCGCCCGCACAGCTTCATGAGAGTGCGGCTGGGCGAGCACAATCTGCGCAAGCGCGACGGGGCGGAGCAACTGCGGACCGTTGCTCGCATCATCCCACATCCGGGCTACGAGGCGCGCAGCCATCGCCACGACGTGATGCTCCTGCGACTAACCCGGCCCGCGCGCGTCTCCCCGGAAGTGAGCCCGGTGGCGCTGCCCACGCGCTGCCCCCAGCCAGGAGAGGCCTGCGTGGTGTCTGGCTGGGGCCTGGTGTCCGACAAGGAGCCTGGGACCAGGGGGAGCCCAAAGTCACAAGGTGCGTGAAAGGATGGAGCTGGATGTCAGGCCTCCAAGGGCCCCTATCCTCCAGGGCTCTTGGGTGGAGGGGAACAAGGGGCCCGAAAATGTATGGATTCCCTCCAAGTCCACTGTCGTTCACAGTGAATCTCCCAGATACATTGCACTGTGGCAACATCAGCGTTATCCCAACCACCTCTTGTAACGAGGACTACCCGGGGCGCGTGAAGGACACCATGGTGTGTGCAGGAGTAGAGGGCGGAGGCACAGATTCCTGTGAGGTCAGAGCCAGAGGGAGCCATGGGGGGCGGGCAGATGGAGGGGGACAGGTTTGGGAGTTGGGATGGGGTCGGGTTTTGCTTGCTTTGGGCCAGAGGAGATGCTACGTGTAGGTTTGGAGATGGAGAAGGAGCAGTTCGAATAGCGGTGAGGTTGGAGTTGGGTTAAAGGTGGGGATAGAGTTGAATTGTGGTTGGCGTGGATGACGTGGCAGTTGGTTGAGGGTGGCATGGGTTGGAGTAGAGAATGGGAATGGGTTTTGCTTGATTTTATTTATTTTTTTATTATTTTTACTGACTTTTACTTATTTTTACTGTAGTATAGTTAACATACAATAATCAGTTTTGAGTTTACAACAGTAATTCGACAGTTATCTATATTATTATATGGCCACCCCAATAAATGTAGTTGCTATATGTCAACATAGAAAGATATCACAATATTACTGACTATATTCTGTATGGGTTTGCTTGATTTTAGATTGGGAATATCTCGGGATTGAATTGGGGATAGGACATTCGGGGTGTAGAAGACATGACGACTGGGATGAGGTCGTGTTGCCGATGGGAATGGGCGGGAGTCTGGTTGAATGGGGACGACGTGTGGGTCAGGTTAGGTGGAGTTGCATGGGGTGGGGTTGGATTGGATTTTGATTCAGGTTGTGAATGGGTGGTTCAGATGGGGATGGGGCACTGGACCCAGAAGGTTCACACTCAAGCTTCCATCTCTCCCCACAGGGTGACTCCGGGGGTCCCCTAGTCTGTGGGGGCGTTCTGCAGGGCATTGTGTCCTGGGGTGATGTCCCCTGTGACACAACCACCAAGCCCGGTGTTTATACCAAAGTCTGCCGCTACTTGGAGTGGATCAGGAAAACCACGAAGAGGAACTGACTGTATTGACCGACCACCTGTGTTACTGATTGAACAGAAGCTCCCACAACTGGCCAGCAGTCCCATCTTGACCTGGGACAGGACTGAGCCATCCCCCCAAGACCCCATTCGTACAAAGTTCAGATGTTAGGCAAGGGCTTGTCCCATCTGAGGTGAGAGCTGGTGCTGAAGGTCACGTGTTTACCACCAACATAACAGCACTGATGCAGGTTTTTCTATAGGAGTTTCTGTGACTTACTTCTGGGGATGGGGGGAAATGGGAGTTAGAGACTAGCCACCGTACACTGTTCCGTTCCACCCACTGCCCTGATCCCTAGGTGAAGAGAAATGGCTTGAAGCAGGGTTCTGTTCATTCAGCACAGGTTTAGCAGCATGATCTTGAGCAAAAAACTCGACCTCACTCAGCCTTGGTTTCCCCATCTATAAAAGAGAGATCATTACATTGCTTGCCTTATAGGGTTGTAAAGATTAAATCAAGAAATGTGAATGAACTGATTCGAACAGCAGCTGGCATTGGGAAAATATATCTCAGAACCCCAGTGAAAGGACCCTGCACATGCTACATGATAAAAAATGACTTCATTTTCCTCAAGAATTAGCCTGGGCTTCCTGGTAGCCACAGCAAAAAGGCAAATGCTCTCCTTAGACATGTTCCTAGCATATACAGCAGAGGCTGGGACCCTGTGAGCTGCACTGATTTTACTCGAGAGCCAGGGGAATGTGTCAGAAGCCTATGGGTTTACCATTGAGGCTGCAGGAATCTAGTTTCTGGTTCTCTTCAGATATCCAAAAAAATGTGATTTTCAAGATCACTGAATGTTGAAGTACATGAACCTAGCTCCTGAGACCTAAATATTTTATTGGGGGAGGGAAGATTGGAATTTCGGGAGAGGATGCTCTTGACCTTGGAAGGCAAGTAGTCTGGGATTCCTGGGGCTTCAGAGAACATAACCTTGAGCATCCAGCTCTGGGGAACAAGAAGGGGGGTTGTGTAATGGGATCCCAACATTGTTTGGGGGGGGCATTGGGTTTCAAAACGCTATGAAACTTAATCAGGGAGACCTCTGAAATTTCATATTCCTGAATCTTGGGGTGCTAGGATTGTGGTGGTGGGTAACCTAAGTTTTTTAAATGAGAGGGACGATAGATTTGGGGGTCTAGATTCTAAGTCTGGGAGTGCTAGAATCCTGGTATCCTGAAAGCCAATGCTTATATTTGGGGGGAACTGAAAGCTGAGAAGCTGGCATCTTGGCTCCAAGAAGCACAGGGAGGAAGGAATCAGACGCCCCCCCACTGCTGATATTTGAGGGCACATGGAGTCTTGGAATGCATGGCCTTACTTGGGTTCAAGTGTATGGGGCTTTGTACTGGGGTCAGTGACTCCTCCACCCTCCTGTTTCTGCTTGCATTCACCCTGCCCACCCCTCTTCTGGCTCTGTCCCCAAGAGTAAGGTCCCAGGAGCTCCAGGCCCTGCCCCGTCTGGCCTCAGGCCCCAGGAATGCTTCCAGCTCGATCGAGGGCCTGCTGAATAACAGGTGCTCACTCTCCCGGCCTGTCCTCAGCTCCGGCGTGGGAGGAGGTGTCCGGCCCCCGGACAGCAGGGGCAGGGCCTTGGCCAGCATCTGGGTGCCAGCAGGGCAGGGGCGGGGCCCTGGGGGAGATGAGGGCCTTTAAAGGCTCCCCAGCTCCAAGCTCACCACCTGCTGGCCCCTGGACACCTCTGTCACCATGAGGCTCCTGGCTCTGTGCCTTGCCCTGTCCCTGGCAGGGACTGGTGAGACAGTGGGGAAGACGTGGGAGGGGGAATGGGCCCAGATTCTCGTGCAACCCTCGGCCCCCACCCCAAGTCCTTTCCCTCCCACTGTTCACCCCCCCCTCCCAAGGACCAGGCTCTCCTGTCCCCCAGCGCCTCCTGTTGTCACGTCCTCACTGCCATGCTAAGTCCCTGCTTCCTTCCAGGAACCCCCAGAACTTTCTCCTCTTCCCCACCTAGTTCCCTGCCCTCAGCCACCTTACCAAAGGCGCAGAGCCTGGGCCATCTCTCTCTCTTGGGGGGACTCCAGCTCTTCCAGGGAGCCCTCCCAATCCCACTAGGCCGTGGGACCCTGATCGCTCCCTCTGAGCCCCCAGGTCCCACCACACCTTGGTGATTCTCTCATCCAGCTGTCGGCTGTCTGCTGGGTCCCCCAGGCCCTGGCATCCAGTCCCCCCTATTCTCCCAGGAACCCCATATTTCACCCAGAATTTCTGGTCCGTGACACCTGGTGGGCCCCCATCCTGGTACGGGGTTCTGTGAATGTCTCTTCCCCAACTCTGCCCTGGAAGCCCCAACCACACACCCCTTTCCCTGTGGAATCTCCTCCCTCCCCAAGCTCCAGCCCTCTCCAACTGAATACCTCCCGTAGCTCTACTTTTCTGGGACCCAGTCCCCCACCCCAGGATCCCCATACCAAACCCCTTCCCAGCCCCGTGGTCTGCCCTGCCTCCCCCAAGGGGCCCAACATGTGTCATCGGGGGGATCCTCCCTGTACCCCGACAGCTGCTTGGCCCCAGATATGCCTCCTCTGTTCCTGTCCCAGCTGCTCCCAAGAGAAGCCTGGATCCCTCAAGGACCCTCAGACCATGAACCCCACCCCATGATAATCACCCGACCCTAGAATGGCTGCCACCTGTTCTCCCTCCTCTGGAGCCCCCTCCCAGTTCTGATGCCAACCGTGGGCCCAGGGCCCCTGCCCCTCTCAGAATGCCATTCCTCTTTACGGACCCCCCACCCAGCTGGTCCCCTCTCCCAGCTGAACCCTATCTTTCGTTCTTTGACCTGAAACTCCAGACTCCCCCAACTCTGTCAGTCCCAATCCAGAACCCCCAAATCACTCCAGATTCCCCAGTATCTTCCTGGCCTCTCAGAACTGACTCCCCAAGTCTCCCTTTGCAGAATCCTAAAAGTCCAACCCATGTCCTAACCATTCCACAGCCTGGGAGCCTCTTAACCCCCACGAATCCTTCCCCCCACAGCCGCTGTCCGCTCTCCTGGGAATCTCCTTTCTTCTCAACTCACAGCCTCCCAGCCCCAGTCCAACACCCTAAATCACCGAACCCCCAAGCCCCGTGCTGCTCCAGAGGCCACCCTTTTGTCTCATACCTGAACCTTGAGGTCCCCACCCAAAAACAGCCACAAAATCACAGTTCCAGAGACTGCTGGAGGATTCGGGGTTCTCAAAACCCCTTGCCCATATCCCTGGCCCTGGTCTTCTGCCCCCATATGCCTCCAACCTCACAGCACAGCTGCCGCCGCCCCCCCACCCCCAGGCCTTTCCTGCCAACCTCCAGCCCCTGACCCAGCACCCCATCCACAGATGCTGTGCCCCCCATCCAGTCCCGGGTCGTAGGGGGCTGGGAGTGTGAACAGCATTCCCAGCCCTGGCAAGTGGCTGTTTACCATTACAGCAACTTCCAGTGTGGGGGAGTCCTGGTGCACCCCCAGTGGGTGCTCACGGCTGCCCACTGCATAAATGAGTGAGTAGCGTCAGGGGCCGTGGGAAGGGGCGTCTGTGCTGCCAGCCTGGGATCACCTCAGGGAGCGAGGATGGCACTGGTGCAGGTCCCAGGAGATGGGCAGCTGGGCAGGGCTGGGACTGGACAGCCCCAGGGAAGCCCTCCCTGCCGCCTGCTCCCTGTGTCCCCGTGTGGCTGTGGCTGTCTTCCTGTGTCTCCCTCTGTCCCGTCTGTGTCTGTTGGTAACTGGCTCCGTTGGCGTGTCTCTCAGTGTGTCTGGGACTTGTGCCTGTCTCCGTCTCTCCTGTCTCCATGCCTGTGTCTCTCTGGGTCTCTGTCCATCTCTAGGTCTCCACTGCTGTTTCTGTCACCCGTGCCTCCCTCTCCATCTGTCTGCCCACCTCTCTCGTTGGGTCTCTGCCGCACTCCCTCTCCCGCCCCACTGCTGGGCACCCCAGGGAAAGAGATTGTCCCTGACGTGTGAGAGAGAGAGAGAGAGAGTGTGTGTGTGCGCGCGCGCGTGCGTGCGTGCGTGCGCTGCCAGGCCCTGCTTCGGATCATCCACTCCGGGTGACACGGGGGAGGGCTGATTGCAGCTGCAACTGGGTGGGGGCACTGGAGGAAGCAGAGGTTGGAGGAAGGGGACAGAAGGGGGCGGGGAGGGAGGATGACCTTGGGCTGGGGGCCAGGCCACCTGCCTGCAGGTGCCAGCCCCACAGCCCCTGCGGCAGCTGAGCTGGACACAGGCGTCTGCCCCTCTCCCTTTTCCCTCACGCGCTGTGCCTCTGGTTCGCGTCCCCTCTGTGCCCTCTGTCCCCGTCCCCTCCCGTGGCCCACTGCCCACTCTCCTTCCGGTTCTGGGCCTCCCTCCTGCTTCTCCCTGAGGCCGTGTCCCCCCCACCCC